ACACACACACACACACACACACACACACACACACACACACACACACATTGAGACACATACCTGGACACATACTCGTAGATACCCAAGAGCAGCCATCAAATCTATACACATACCCACTAACACATAAACAGCGTCAAAGAGACTCAAACCTCCTGGGATATGCCATCAGAGACACACAGTATCAGACACCCAGAGACCACCGGAGGCACATAAGTAACACAATGGCGCAAGTTGACCTAGAGAGACACGCAAGACACTTGGAACAAAGATGCAAAGTACAAGGGAACAAACCCAAAGGAACCCAAGCCCATCCTTCAATCGTCCAAGATCCACTCCCCTCCTAAGTGGGAACCCAGGCTCTCCCGGGGACCTGTCTTTCACTTCCTTGAGGAATCTGTAGGTCCCTTTCCTTGGCAGCGGCACCCAATGTAGGCCGCGGGCGACCCCTGGTGGATCAGGAGCCTCAACCCCCGGCTGCAAAGCGAGTGGGCGTAGGGAGGCGGTCTACTTGAGGGTAGAGAGAAGGTGCTTCTAGGTCTTTGGTCTCAATGCAAAGGCGGGTGAGGAAGGGGCGTGGCGACGGGGCAGCGGGGAGACAGGCAGCCGAAACCCGATCAGTCAGGCCTTAAGCCCGGAAACAGAGCCGGGAAGCTGCAGTGGGACGGAAGACCCTCAACCGCCCGGCTCCAACGACCTAGCCCCGCGCCCCTGCCCGGCGCTGCCCGCGGTACCTCGGAAGACCCAGTGAGCCGGGAGGCGGATTCCCATTGGTCCGCGGCCGACCAATGAGACGCGCCTAGGGTGCTCGGCAGGGCGGGGCGATCGGTAGCGCAGACGGAGGGGTGCTCGCCCGCCCCGCCTGGCTCTCGGCCAGAAAATGACCACCAAAGACTCGTCCAAGTTCTGGAATGTCCAGGGCAGAGGCCGCTGGTGCGAGAGAATTACCAGCCATCGCCGACGTGACTTTGACCCTAAGAAAGGTGGGTCGGCCCCTTCCAGGTCTGACCCTTCTCCCAAGCCCTGACCATTCTCCAGCCCCGCCCACTTACTTGTCATTATCCCCAGGCCCCGCCCACTTCCCCCTGCCGTCAGCCACCCGGGCCCCGCCCATTCCCACTCCGAGTCCCGCCCACATCCTCCCATCCCCCTCCCAGGCCTAGTCCCACTCCCCAGTCCCACCCACTTCCCAGACATCCCCCCAACCCTCGCCCCAAGTCCCGCCTACTACTCCGTCATTCTCCCTGGGCTCCGCCCAGTTGCCCAGCCATCAGCCTCCCCATCCCGCCCACTTCTCTGTCATTCTCCCCAGGCCTCGCCCACTTCCCCCAGCTCTTGACTTCCAGGCCCTGCTTACCCCCCCCCACCCCCCCCCCCCGGTGGCGTCCACCTCGGGTCATTCTCACCAGATTCTGCCCACTTCCCTGCCATCAGCCTCCAGGCCCTCCGCCCACTCGCCTCCCCGACTTACTTTGGTACCTCTCTTAGTCCAGAACCACCCTCTTCCCAGGCCCCGTCCTTCTGTTTCCTATCTAAAGTCCTCTCCCCTTTCCTGGTTCCACCTTTCAGGAACTCTGCGGCCCCTTCTCAGGCCAAGCCTTCAAACCACCCCCATCCCTAGTCTGACTTCCTCGGGCGCTCTGTGGCCTGCGGGGCCTCTGGTCACTTGGTCCAATTCCTTTAGGCCCCGCCCCTTTTGTTCCACCCTTCCTTCTTCCAGGTCCCCCCCCCCCCCCCACACACACACTATCAAGGTCCTACCCCAAAGCCACCAAGTTCCTGGTGTGGGATGGGGGTGGAGGGGCTCCTCGCTACTGGAGCTAGGGAGGTCTCAGTTTCCCCAGCCCTGCCCTTCCTCTGGAAGGCCCTAACCCTTTGGCCATCTAAGTACCTGCCTGCAGTGGGATCCCACCCCTGCCACAGTGGTATTCACTGTCCAGGCCCGTGTCTCCCCTCTGTGGCCCCGTCCAGCTCACAGGACACTAATTCCAGTCCAGATGGGTGTGCCCACCCTGTCGCCCGCAGTTGATGAATTTACCACATGCCATTTTGGCCTTGCCCCAGCTCGTGATCTGGTACCAGTGCCTGGTCTGGGGACCCGTGCAGGACAGTCTTGCCCCACCCCCTGCTGCACATCTGGACCCCCAGGATGTTGGTGGCTTTGGACATATTCTGTCTGCTGCTGGGTGAGCCCCCTCCCCACCAGCCTTGAGCACCCCCCAATCACGACACCCAAAGATCTGTGGAGGGGTCTATCTACCTGTCTTTATCCAAGGGTCCTTGGACTGTTGGCTGGCTGGCTGCCGTTGGGCATGTACTTGGGTCACATGTCTACATCAGTGTATTTCTGGGGTGACTGGGTCAATGTGTGTCTGTGTGCATGGAGGAGAAACGGACTCTCTACAAGTATGACCTGTCTTCCTGGGTCTGTGTGCCCAGAACAGCATCCGGCTGTGCATTTTTTTTTTCTTTTTTGTCAGTCTTGCATATGACTTTATTTTCCCCCTTCAACAATTTTTTTTCAGTCTCTCGTATGATTTTATTCACTGTGTGTCTTTTTGAGTTGTGTATCTGTGTGTCTATGGCAGAGAGAGAGTCTGCACTGTGTATCTCTGTGTATGTTTGGCTGTGTGTATTTGTAAGTGAGTCTCTGAGCCTATCTGTGTATCTGAGATTGGTCTGTGAGGTACTTACATCCATGTGAATGTACGATTCCAGGCATATGTGTTCATGCGTGCATGTCACATACATGTGTACGTCAGTCTGTTTCTACATCTGGCTACATCTGTGCTGAGGTGTGAGTGTAGAGCTTATCTGGGTGCATCTGACTCTGTGATATGTATGCGTGTCTCCGGGTCTCTGTGTCGTATGTTATTGTGTTGTCGTGTTGTATTGGCTTAGAGAGGTGTGTTTATTGTGCGTGACTTCTGTGATTGAGCCTGGGACTATGAATCTGGGTTGGGATGGATCTGATGGTATTTGCGTAGCTTGGTGTGTGTCTGGGTCTAGATGGGCCTATATGTGTTGCGGGTATATTGTCACACAGTGTTTCTGTGTGTGTGTGTGTGTCTGGGTCAGACTGTGTGGTTGTATCGTGTAATTGTGTATGTCGGACTCTGTGTGTGGATGTACGTCTATGGCCTGAGCTTGCCTGGAGTCTAGATGTGTGGCTGACATATGCCAGCCCCGCCCCCAATTCCCCAGTGGGTAGAGCTGGTGACCAAAGCCCCTTTGCTGGGAAGAGGAGGGCAGGTTGGGACACTAGCTTTGCCCTCTTAGCCCAGGAAGGGAGCTGGGGGCTGTAGGAGGCTAGGTTCCAACTACCTAGCTCCACCAGACTTCAGTGGGCAACGGGACGAGAGGGTGGCAGGTCTGGGAGTAAGCCTTTAGGGTGGGTGGGCCTGACAGCCTGAGACGAGACCCCCCTGCCCTGCCTGACTTCAGGATGGGGTGTCAGGTGAGGGGCCCCAGGCCATGCTCACACACAGTATTCACACCATATCACCCAGCTCAGACACAGAGCCATAGATATAGGCACGAACACACACACACACACCACACTTCCATGAACACACATGCATAATCACACACACACACACACATACGCGCGCGCGCACAACCACTATTCACACAACACATGCATGGTGCATACGTGCACGCACCAAGACGCACACGTCTGCCTTCATTGACATCCCCAGCACACAGGTGCACGTACCAAAACACCCACGTACACACAAACACACTTCCAAAAACACATGGTTCCATACCTACAAAGACAGAGATTCACGCTCACCAAGAAAGAAACAGAAGAAGATTCACAGCCAGGAGCGCCTGGGTGGCTCAGTAGGTTAAGCGTCCGACTTCAGCTCAGGTCACCATCTCATGGTTTGTGAGTTCGAGCCCTGGATTGGGCTCTCTGCTGTCACTGCAGAGCCTGCTTTGGATCCTCTGTTTCCCCCCTTCCCCACTTGCTCTCTCTCTCTCAAGAATGAATAAAACATTTTAAGAAAAGAAAAGAAAGGAACCCCCTTACCCTTGCCCCCTCATTATTCTAACCCCTTACCCACTTTGTGCACAGGACCCCACCCACGCATGGGTCCCTGGAGCTCTGTCCTCCTCTGGCCTTCTGTCCAGACCATCTTCCCTACACAGCCTTCCCCACCCTGCCACCACGTCCAGGCTGTGGAGATGCAGGCAGGATAGACCGGCCGGAAGGCCTAAGGAGAGTCAGCGTCAGGCCAACTGTCCGCCCCAGGCAGTCAGCATCCCCAGTGAGCCGAGCGAGAGCGGTTTGTTCTTACCCTACATGCAAGGCCTCTCCTGCGAAGACACTACCACCAAATACCCCCGGGGGGCCCATTACACCATCGAGGACTCAGTATTCACCATCGTGGGCTTCTGACTCTGCCTCTTCAGGGTGAGGGGCTGGCCACTTTCCGCCCGTGCAGTGGTGACACGCCACGGGCCAGCTTCCCCCCTTTTTTCTGGCAAAGCGTAAGCCGGAGGCAGGGGCAGGTACCAACTCTGCTCCCAACGAGATGGGAAATCGCGCTGCTCCACGGCACAGAACCCCTCTCCTTGAGGAACCACATGGTAAGGCTCACCCTTTGTTAACACAGAATAGAGGAAATGCCTGCCTCGGTGCCTTAGGCACAGAGGAAGCACAGCCCCGGTCCCCCCAACACACAGGGAAGCCCACCGCTCATATTGATAAAGCAGGATGCGGTGCTGCCCCTCTTCTGGGGAGCTGGGAAACCTCTTTCAAACATAGAGGGGACATCCTGCCTCTTTATCCTGGTGAAAAGGAAAGTCGTTCCCCCCCCCACCCCCATTTTCTGACATTTGGGAGGAAGCCCACACGTTTCTCCTGGTGTAGCAGGAAGTCCCGCCCCTTCCGGATGTGGGACTCCCGCCCAGGTCTGACATAAAATAGGGGGATGCCCACCCTCCTTCTTGGTGACACGGGAAGCGATGCCCTTCTGCCTGGCTTGGTGGGAACCCAGCCCCACCTGTCCCCCACTGACAGGGAGAAATGCAGATTGTCTGAGACACAGGCTTGGGGAGCTCCCACTCGTGCTGCACCCCTGCCCCCGGCGGTGACCCCTCCCCTCTCCAGTGTGGCCCGCAGACCAGCCTGGGAGAGGTGGTCCGGGTCCAGGGCCTGCAGGTAAGCTTGCCAACCCTCACGAAGAGCCCCCACGTGGCCGTGGTCTCCAAGCATCTGGGGACCTTCGTGTTTGGTGGCATGAGATGACCACAAGTCTCTTAAGGCCCCGCTTCCTGGCACGGTCCCTGCCCAACCCAGCTTCCTTCAACTATGAGAGCAGCTACATCGCCGACACCTGCACCAGGCACCCCGAGAATGTCCTCGATGCCAGGCGAGCGGGCGGGCATTGAGGGGAACCCAGGAAGCAGCCCCTGCCACACCCCAGCCGCATCTGAGGTCAGCAGGTGTCAGCCCTCCTCCGCCCCTCCCCCACCGGTCTCCCAGAAAATCCTTCTATTCTGAGCACGCCTCCTCGGGGATGTACTCCAAGGCGTATCTGGCGGCGAGTGTTAGTGGGAGGCGGGCCATCCACCGGGCAAGGCCAGAGAATGCTCCGTTGTCCCCCACCCCCACCAGCGCCAGGCACGGCTTCCACAGAGCTGGTGTATGCCCCTGGACTTGGGAGGGCTAGAATGGGGAGGGCCTATCTCCTCTTAAGGCTCATTCAGCATCCCTGTCCTGCAACAGCAATTTCCAGAACTCTCCGTCTCCCCCTCTCTGCAGCTGGAGAGGGCCTGTGCCAGGCTGGGTTCATGCCCAGGGCTGGACTCCGCCAAGGGCAGGGGGAAGGGGATTTGGGCCCAGGGGAGGTGGAGGTCTGAGGTCTGGGCGGAGAGGTGACAGGAGGAGCTGGGGAGAAGGGAAACCTCCGGAAAGGAGTCAATGACCCAGGGGACAAAGAGAGCACAGACTTGGGTGGTGGCATGAGATCTCACACAGCGGAGCCAGCCCACAGCACTCAGGGAGCATGGTGGGCAGACACAATGGCACAGACAGAGGCCAGGCCACGGAGCACGTGACAGTCACACGGCTCACACCAGCTACTGGTCACACCGGCAACATTTTCCTCCTGAAAGACGCCCATTCGACTGACAGCCTTCCCCTCCCCCCTTTTTTTTTAAAGACCAAGTAACCAAATAACTACCACCTCCCACAGTGATAAAAGATCAGGGGCTTGGGACCTGGAATGTATGGACTTTATTCCCAGCCTCAACTGTGTGTGAAATCCTCAACCTCCCAGGGCCTCCATTTCCCCACCTGTGAAATGGGCATATAAACCGCCTCTGCCTCCTAGGGTTGTGGTTTCACGAGCTAAAGCACAAACGAGCTGACACACTCAAAGCACTTAGAACAGGATCTGGCTAAAATATCACCATTATCATTAATAATAGGCAAAACAGACTCCACCCCTGCCCCGAGGTGGACTGGGAGTTGGGGTGCATGTCAATGCCTTGAGGCTCACAGATGGGGTGGCAGTGTGGCCCCCACACGGTGGACAGATCACACACAATTAGAAGGCAGGCCTTTCCTGGGTTTTGCAGACCTCAGAAAGGGTGGTCCATTTAGTGAGCGGAATGTTCTGGGTCTCTGGGAATCCCCCCCACCTCACGAGTATTCCCCAAGTGCTGATGCCCGATTTCTCCTGAAATGCCCCGCAGCCGCTTCCCTGTGCTTGCTGCTCATCCCGAGGTAGTAACTTAACCTGGTGTTTTAAAATGGGATTTTGCTTTCTGTGTTCCGTTGCAAAATCAGGAGCCCATCCTCTGCTCTTTCGGGGCTCCCTGATGACGCCAACCCAGTTCGATCGGGGCTGTGACCCCCGGCAAGAGGTGGGGGTACCGTGAGCTTCCCCACAGGGTCTCACCAGACTGCATGGGAAACCCTCTCTTCGGCATCCTACATGTCTCCCAACACTGGCGTGTGGCTCACAGCATAGAGCTAGCTCGCTTACAGTGCTGGTTTGGGGGGGGTGGGGTGCAGAGCCAATAGCCTCTTTAGAGGCTGAAATCCATTTCCATACGAAACTGGCAAGATAGAATGTCCTGCCTCACACTATGGCTGCCCAGGGCCGGGCAGGCAGATGGGTGCAAAACTGCAGTGGGGAGTCCTTCTGCATACCCGCTCCTGGGGCTTGAGACCCTGCGCAGCTGCCCCCAGCTCTGTGGGCAGACCCGCTCCTGAAGCCAAAAACAAACAAAAAAAAAAACACAGGCTCTTAACAGCCCGTCATCCAGCTCCTTTTCTTGTCCCTGGCTCTATTCACTGGCCACATCCGGATCTTGGACTCTCGGCACCACCAGTATAAATCTGGTCTTCGGATTCCCGGAGGGAGAGCCTCGACGGCTTTCTGGGTGGTAGGCGAAAGCATGCTACCAGGGAGGGTCGGCGTGCCTGGGGGCCTGGCACATTTTACCTCCCAGGGTGGGGCAGCCATGGGGTACAAGTGACATCAGCCCACCCCAACCCCCTCTGCCTTCATGCCTACAGGCTTTCTTTGTCTCTGGCTTCTTCACATCTCAGGCATTGCCAGCCAGGTCCCAGCAACCCCAGGGGCTGGAAGACCACCCTGACTCTCCACTCTCTTCCCCCTTGCCCTCCCTCTGCTCTCCTGAGGACCACCAGGGAGGCCCTGATGCAGACAGACATAGACGACACCATAGAGCCCATACTCTCTAGAGACCGTCCCTTCCCAGGTACACTTCCCAGCAGGACGCCCTGCTCTCTGGGGCTCAATCCATGACCCAGATCAGCCCTGCCCTGGCGGAGTGACCCAGGACATCCATTTTTCTGGGGCTGAGCCCCAAGTCAGCCCCTCCCAGCAGGGCCACTTCCATTTTTATATTTTTTATGACTCTTGCTATATGAAAAAATTACAAAATGCCAACGCGGGATTTTCGAGACATGTTAACATGGGTCAGTGGAAATCCATGTCTCAGGGGTCAGTGATGACACACTGGGTCATAACCTCAAAGGTCTAAATCAGGGTTTCTCCACTTTGGCGTTATTGACATTTGGAGTTTGGATAATGCTTTGCCTTGTAGAGCGTTGGGTGGCATCCCTGGGCTCCACCCACTGGAGGCCAGTAGCACCTCCAGGTCGTAATAAGCAAAAATGTCTCCAGACATTGGGAAGCATCCCCTGGGGGAGCACGGCACCGCAGCTGAGACCCCCTGGGTTACAGGATCTCGCTGACACCGCCCCTAAGAAATTCTGCCTTCATAATCATCTGACCTACTGTGAGCCCTGCACACATTTAAATACCCCCCCCGGGGGGGGGGGTAGGCAAGAGGAAGTGACCCACAGATACGGGGGTGGGGGTCACCCTGGTTTAAACCATAAAACAGCTGTCTAACCCATCAGAAACCTATTGTGTCTAATGAGAGCTCGGGGGTCTCCATTTTTCCCCCAATTAATAACACAAGGTTTCTCAGGCCTATTGCCATTTGGTGCCAGATCATTCTTGAGGCTGGGGGGGGAGGGGGGAGGGATTAAACTGTGCCTTGTAGAATGTTTGGCAACATTCACCACTAGATGGCAGGACCACACACACCCCCTGTCTGGACATGACATGGCCAAGTGTCCCCCTGTTGAGAACCACGGGTCAAAACCAGAAGCCATGGCAAATGTGAGGTCCCAGCCACGTAGCCAACCTGACTAACCTTCCCCCCCCCCCCAATAGCTGGAGGCCACGGGGGATGCAGAGGAGGTGAGGACGAGGCTTCCGCCCGTGGCACAGCTAGAGGTCAGCAGAAGGTGGCCCCAAGGGGTCTGGCCTCCACTGGAGGCTCAGCACAGAAAGTCTTGTCCAGCCCCTGATAATAATTGTAATACCAACAGCTACAATGTATTGTTTACTCTGTGCAGAGAAAGTCGGGCCTGGCTTGTTAACTGGGCCATCTCATCAGACCCTCCCCATGGCCCTAGAGGGCAGGCATTGACCGCCCCATCTTGCAGATAAGGAAATTCAGCCAAAGACAAGCAAAGTGACCGTGCAAGGTCATTCAGCTAACAAGAAATGCCAAGGTAAGGCGAAGAGAGGTGCCTATTGGGGGGGGGGGGGGGCGGCAAGGCAGTCCCAGGGGCTATCTATCCATCCCATGTATAATCCAGCTGTAAATCTTACTCCTTGAGGTTCAACGCCAGGCAAGGCTGGAGCTGGCCGCACCTGCCAAGGACCCAAAGCCCAACAGAGGTGTCCAGGGGGAGCGCACTGTCCCCCACAACCTCCATCAGCGTCCACAAGCATCCCCAGCCAAACATGAAAGAAAAATCGTGGTGTCACTTACTATGCGGCTCCAGGACAAGTCCTCCAGGAACCGCCCGCCCCCCGCCCCCCAAAACAGACCGCAGCTCCGGAGCCCCCCCAGCTCGCCCCACTAGGGGTCCTCTCGGTTGTCGCAAGGGTTCTGGCAAAGGAGACCTACACGGAAGGAGGAGGCAGGCTACGGATGAGAAACTGAGGCAGGGCCGCCCGGGGGGGGGGGGGGGCGGGGGTGGAGGATGGGGGAGAGACGGGATCGATCCGCAGCTCGTTTACTCGGCGCTCTCCCTTCCCCGCCCCATCCCCGCAAGACCCCGGTCGCCAGGCCCGGCTGGGAGCCGGGTGGAGCGGGTGGGGGAGGAAATGTTTAGGTGGAGCTCGAGGGGCCTCACCCCACGGCCCGCGGCGGGGGCGCACGGGGCCCCGGCGTGCCCCAGCCTGGGCCCCCGGAGGGATCCCTCCACCCCGGCACCCTCCGTCCCGGGGCGGGACCAGGGGGCGGGGCGGGCCGGTGACCGGCCGTGACGCGGGCCCCGCCCGCTCATATAGAGGCGCCCCGGGGGCGCAGGGACCTTGCTTCGCCGCCGCCGCCGCCGCCGCCGCGTCCACCTCCCGTCCCGCCGCCGCAGCTCCCAGCGCCAGCGCCGCCGCCGCGTCCACCATCAGCACCAGCGCCATGCGGGAAATCGTGCACCTGCAGGCCGGCCAGTGCGGCAACCAGATCGGAGCCAAGGTGCGCGGGGGCTGGGGCCCCGAGGGCGGCCGAGAGGAGCCGAGCAGGTCCACGGGCTCCGCAGAGCTCCCCCACCTGGGGCCTCTCGGAGGGATGGGGTCCGCGGGAGGCCAGGACCCCGGGGACGGTTAGGGGAGGGGGGGGGGCGGGGGCAGGGCCAGGCTGGGAACAAAGAGGCCTGTGGGGGTGGGGCCCAGCCTTCCGTCCGCTGACCACAGCTGGCTGCACAGCTGGCCCACTGTCCTCTCCACGCGCACAAAGGGACCCTGCCCCTCCCCGCACGCTGCAGCCTGGGCGAGCTGACACCGGCAGGCTCCGCCGAGGTGGTGACTCGGCTCCACCCCCGCCCCCACCTCTCCCTTCTTGCTGCCTCATGCCTGCCCTCCCCACCATGCCTCTAGGTCCCCCCTTCGCCTTGCTTGGGGACAGGTGGCAGCTAGGAAGGCGGTTGGAGGTCGTGGGCCCGGAGAGGCAGGGACAGGTCTGGCCGCCCGCTTCCCCGCCCTCTGCCCTTACCCGTCCCCACCCCCACCCCCACCCCCGCCATCCCTCTAGTTTTGGGAGGTGATCAGTGATGAGCACGGCATCGACCCCACCGGCACATACCACGGAGACAGTGACCTGCAGCTGGAGAGAATCAACGTGTACTACAATGAGGCCACAGGTAGGGGCCCGGGGGCACCTGCATAAGTGGGGGTGGGGAGGCTGGGAGGGGGCAGGATGCTGGTTCCTGGCACTCCCGCAACCCCCAGCCGCCCTCCATCTGCTTCCCTGCAGGAGGAAATTATGTTCCCAGAGCCGTGCTGGTGGACCTGGAGCCGGGCACCATGGACTCGGTTCGCTCTGGCCCCTTCGGCCAGATCTTCCGGCCCGACAACTTTGTTTTTGGTGAGTTCCAGGCACAGGAAGCCCCCGTGCTCCTTTGACTTCCAAATGCTTGGTGAAAAATCCCCCCGCGTAGCTTAGGAGACTCTGGTGGCCACGGGGTCCCACAGCCCCGCGGGGGAGGTGAACAGGGCAGTCAGGGTTGTGATGGAGGACACACAGGCCACCGTGAGAGCCCAGGACGGGCATCTGCTAGGGAGGAGGGTGGAGAGAAGGCTTCCTGGAGGAGGTGGCATTTTAATTTAACAGCATGGACTGGAGCCAGACTGCCTGGGTGAAAATGCCAGTTCTGCCATTTCACGCATTCAACAAATAACTTATTGAGCACCTACGGCATACCGGGCCCTGCCGTCACCCCAGAAGAACAAAGCAGAGAAGATTCTCTACCCTATTGGAGCCGACCTCCCAGGGGAGGGATGTGCAACAGAGAAGCTAAATAAGTACAACTCAGCCACTGATTGAAAGTCAGCTGGGTGACTGTAGACAGGCTCCTTCAGCTCTCTGTGCCTCAGTCTCCACATCTTTAAAGCAGAGATTATAAAAAAGACCTACTCATCATCACAATCGTGAGGCTTAAAGCCGTGAATATGCAGAGAGCACTCAGAACCGTATCTAACAGAGAGGAAAAAGCACATAAGCATTTGTACTTTTCATTATCACAATCACTGTTAATACCTGCAGCCTAAAATATGAGTAGGACCTAGACTGACCAAGAGGCATTGAAGGGAGGAAAGATGTGCAAGACCGAGGGAACAGCACACGTGAAGACAGCAGACACATTTGTGGCGCTCAGGTTCCTGGGGCACACACGCTCTGTGAACATCCTTCAGAGACACTGTTCCTAGTGCCTCCCAGGTCAGGCTGGCTGCACACACCCACCCACCTGGCCTCAGACCCCGGGGCTCCACCCTCTCCCCCAGCACCCCGGGGAACCTCTCTTCCTCAGAGCAGGGTGGTTTATAGAGTCTGAAGCCTACGCGTTGACAGGACAGGCTGTGTGACCTTGGACAAACAACTTCCCCTCTCTGGTCTGTGTGATGATTCAGCAAGATAACGATGCTCCCGTGTGGGTATGGCATACAATACGTCCTTGGGATATGGCTGTGGAAGGACTAAACAATGTTGACCAAAGGGTGTGAGGGAGTCTAGGATAACTATGGGTGGCTCCATCGGGACCAACAGATGTGAAGGCTTCTGGGAGCCTGGGTGGGGAGGCAGCGGTAAAAGTGTGGAGTCAGGAGACCGACTGCCTGGCAATCCCGTTTCTCTCTGAGGAGGTGACATGGCACAAAGACCCGAAAGAAAAGTCAGCCATGTGAGTACCTGGGGGTAAGGGCATCCCAGGCAGAATGAACAGCAGGCGCAAAGGTCCTGGGGCAGCACCTGGTGTGCTGGAGGAACTGCAAGGAGCCCGATGCGGTTAGAGCAGAGTGGACCAGGGAGAGAGAGGGAGGAGGTGAGTGCAGGCACGAGACAGGGTAGGGGCAGGTTGTTTAGGGCTCTGTGGGCTGCAGGGAAGACCTGGGCTTGTGCCCCCGGGGAAGTGGGAGCCCTGGAGGATTGTGGGTAGGGGGGGGTGGGACATGATTCAGGTGCTCACAGACGCCCTCTGGCTGCTGGCAGGAGAACAGACTGTTCTGTAGAGGGTGGGGAGGCGGGTGGGAACCAGTCCAGAACAGGGTTGATGAGGTCAGACCAGGGTGGAGTCAAAGGAGGGAATGAGAAGAAATGTTAACCTTTTCACAAAAATACCGGCCCATCCACTAATACTAATCCTTGCCCTCCTGGAGGTCACATTTCCCGGTGAGATTACAGACAATGGACATGAGTAACAAGAACACGTAAGTTTGTCAGTGCTTCAGGGGGGAAAAAAAAAAAAAAAGGCAAGGAAGAGGAATAAGAAATGGGAGGAAAGCCTCAGTGAGAGTGACAAAGCCCTGAAGGAGGTGAGAGAGCCATGTGGGTATCTGCGGGAAGACCATTTCGGGCAGAGGGAATGCATGTGCAAAGGCCCTGGGGCAGGACTGGGCCTGGTGTGTTGGAGGAACAGCAAGGAGGACCCTCTGGTTGGAGAAGAGTGAGCCAGAAAAGAGAGAGGAGGTGAGAGCAGGGAGAGGGGCTCGCAGGTCCTGCAGGGCCCTGTGGGCCGAGTGGGGGCGGAGAGGCTTGGGCTTTTATTCAAAGACCCAGCTGGTTTTTGAGCTTAAAGCAGGAGGCTTCGGGGCCAAAGCGGGACATGAATGGCTTCCGGCTTTCCCAGGATCCCCTCTGGCTGCTGGATGAGAAGCCAGCAAGGATAGAGGCAGACCACAAGAACGACCCACAGTAACGCTAACACAATAATAATAATTTCATTGCTGTTATTCGACTCCTAGGATGGCCGGGGTGAGGGGGAGCTCTCCCCGTAACCCCCCTGCGCGCTCTCCACCCCCACCCCCACCCCGTCCCGTCCCGTCCCGTCCCGTCCCGTCCCCCTCCCTCTGCAGGCCAGTCGGGAGCCGGCAACAACTGGGCCAAGGGCCATTACACGGAGGGCGCCGAGCTGGTGGACGCCGTCCTGGACGTGGTGCGTAAGGAGGCCGAGAGTTGTGACTGCCTGCAGGGCTTCCAGCTGACCCACTCGCTGGGCGGGGGCACGGGGTCCGGGATGGGCACCCTCCTCATCAGCAAGATCCGCGAGGAGTTCCCCGACCGGATCATGAACACCTTCAGCGTGGTGCCGTCGCCCAAGGTGTCGGACACGGTGGTGGAGCCCTACAACGCCACGCTGTCGGTGCACCAGCTGGTGGAGAACACGGACGAGACGTACTGCATCGACAACGAGGCCCTGTACGACATCTGCTTCCGCACCCTGAAGCTGACCACGCCCACCTACGGCGACCTCAACCACCTGGTGTCGGCCACCATGAGCGGCGTCACCACCTGCCTGCGCTTCCCGGGCCAGCTCAACGCCGACCTGCGCAAGCTGGCCGTGAACATGGTGCCCTTCCCGCGCCTGCACTTCTTCATGCCGGGCTTCGCGCCGCTCACCAGCCGCGGCAGCCAGCAGTACCGCGCGCTCACGGTGCCCGAGCTGACGCAGCAGATGTTCGACGCCAAGAACATGATGGCCGCGTGCGACCCGCGCCACGGCCGCTACCTGACGGTGGCCGCCGTGTTCCGCGGCCGCATGTCCATGAAGGAGGTGGACGAGCAGATGCTGAGCGTGCAGAGCAAGAACAGCAGCTACTTCGTCGAGTGGATCCCCAACAACGTCAAGACCGCCGTGTGCGACATCCCGCCGCGCGGCCTCAAGATGGCCGCCACCTTCATCGGCAACAGCACGGCCATCCAGGAGCTGTTCAAGCGCATCTCGGAGCAGTTCACGGCCATGTTCCGGCGCAAGGCCTTCCTGCACTGGTACACGGGCGAGGGCATGGACGAGATGGAGTTCACCGAGGCCGAGAGCAACATGAACGACCTGGTGTCCGAGTACCAGCAGTACCAGGACGCCACGGCCGAGGAGGGCGAGTTCGAGGAGGAGGCGGAGGAGGAGGAGGTGGCCTAGGCCCCGCCCCGCGCTGCAACCCGGCCCCGCCCCGCCTCTGGGCCCGCCCCTCCGAGCCTCGCGCTTCCCGGGTGACCCTTGACCCGCGGGCGCCCTCCCCGTAGCTCTTCTAACGTGGACGCACGCACCCCCTCGTGGGCCCCACCGTTAACTCTCCGGGAGCCTCCCTTCGCGCGGACCTCTCCTTCACCTTTGACCTCCCCCACGGACCCCACTGTGCTCCCAGTTTACTGTCCACCCCTCTGGCCTTGCCCCGCCTCCCCTAGGACTGCCTCGTCTCCCTCTGGCTCCCGCCCCTCCCCTCGGCCCTAGCCAACCTTGGTTTGCCAGGGTGGTGGGGGGCTGGCTGCCGCCGCCCGAGGGAGAAGCCCTGGAGCATGTGAGCAAAAGGCGTTGCGCCCTCAAGCCTCCCCGGCCTCCTCCCCTCTGCTTCACCCGCAATAAATAAACTGGTGGCCTGCCAGGTGTCTGCCCCGTGCGTTGTATCATCTCCCCGCGGGAGGGTCGGCAAGGGAGCTTTATGGGATGGACCTGGGTGCTGAAGGGACATCTGATCTGGGGGAGCTGGGGAGGGCGGCAGAGATTTCAGAGAGGGACAGAGCAGGCTGTATTGCTAACTAACTGTGTGGTGTTGAGTAAGCCGCTTGTGGTCTCAGCCTCCATTTGTTCAGATGGGGTGGGTAGACGGAGGGCATCAGTACCCTTGCATAGTCAGCTGGGGCATCCTCACAGCGTGGTGGCAGGTTCCCCGTGAGCAGACATCCCAGGAGAGCAGGGCAGACTACGTTGCCTTTTGCTGACCCAGCTGCAGACGTCACATAGCGTCCTCTGGACTCCTGATCGATGGGGTCCACAAAGGCCCACCCAGGTTCAAGGGGGTAGGATGTAGACTCCACCCCCTTGAGGGTAGAGAAGAAAGATTCCAGAAGGGCATGTGGGATGGGAGACATCTCTGTGACCATCTTTGGAAATTGTGATTTGCTGCACACAGTCTTGCCCAACGTCCCATGGCCATCAAGCAGTGAGGTTGGGGTTCTAGACACATTAAGTCTAGAACTCTGATTCCCCTTTGTCAGCCAGAGCTCAGGACAAGGACCATCATAGGCGTATTAAGCAGAAAGGGATTTAATACAAGGATTTGGGGGCTTCCGGCATTGTTAGAGGGACTAAGAGAGCGGACCACAGGCCAGTATTTCTTAAACGTCAGTGTGCCGAAGAATCACCGGCAAGGGGTGCCAGACTGGCTCAGTCGGTTCAGCATACCACCCTTGGCCTCAGGCTTGTCAGTTCAAGCCAGAAGTTGGGTGTAAAGCTGACATTAAAAAAAATAATGGGGGGGGGGGCGCCTGGGTGACTCAGTTAGGCGTCCAAATCTTGATTTCAGCTCCGGTCATAATCTCGCAGTTCATGAGTTCAAGCCCCACTTCAGGCTCTGGGCTGACTGTATGGAGACTTCTTGGGATATTCTCTCTCTCCCTCTCTCTCTGCCCCTTCCCTGCTTTCACACTCTCTCTCTCAAAATAAATTTTAAAAAAATAATGAAAAGTAAAAGATGAAGGAAGGAAGGAAGGAAGGAAGGAAGGAAGGAAGGAAGGAAGAAAAAGAAAAGAAAAGAAAAGAAAAGAAAAGAAAAGAAAAGAAAAGAAAA